TATAACCAACCTATTCAGGTGTTCTTTGGTCCAGCTCCTTACCAATCTATGCAAAATCCTATAACTGAGGTTTGGCAACGAAGGGCCAGAACTTTACTCATTTTCATACAAGCTTGAAAAAGCCTATAATTTTCATTAAACTTCCACTTTTCCTTATGATACAGTGGAATTTCCTGATCTTTGCAGAGACACCAGGCTAAACCAGTTGCAGAGCTCACTGATAACAATTGAAGACCTGTCTAATATATTGTTAAAACTCTACATGTCTTGCCAGCAGTTTCATACACTCATAGAAATGTTGGGCTGGAAGGGATTTCAAGCAGTGTCCTAGTTTGACTCCTTCAGTGAACTATCATCCAGTGCACTTAAGACTTCTGGACAATGTTTGCCTAATGTGTTCTTAACAACCTTCAGTGATGGGGATTCTTCAGTCTCACTGTGTCATCTACACCAGTCTTTCAACACTCCAACAGTAAGAATAATTTTCCTAAAATTATATCTAAATCTACTTTGATGAAAATTAAACTATTTTTTTCTTTTCCTTCCTCTAGTAGCCATGGGGAACACTTGATCACTGGGCATACCTACACATGTGCTTTAGTGCACATTAGCTTATTTTAATACATATTAAAGCTTCACTAAAGAACGTGTTATTTAGTTAATGCACATTAAAATAGAGTAATGTGAATTAAGCGTCACCTAAAAACCATGCTCTTTAGTTAATTTGCATTAAGAGAGGCTAATGCGCATTTTCCTAGTACCTCACAATGGAAGTACTAGATTTAATGTGCAGTAACTAAAGTGTGTTAATTCACGTGTAGATGCACCCATTGTCTTCTATGCCACAGGTTGTTACAAATTGGAAAGCTGAATGTGTTACCCTCAGTCTTTTCTCATCTAGATTAAATAAACCTATTCCTTCAGTCTTTTCTAATTGTTTATATTTTTAAAAACTCTTATAATTTTTCTTCCTTTCCATGGGACTCTCTTCTGTTTCTCCACATCCTTCTAAACATGTCATGCCATTGGTTAGTCCTAAAACGAGAAGCATTCTTACCTCCACTGTTAATAGGTTGCTAAATGAGATTTGTGTTTTTTTGGAGCAGAATCATCTGGTTGACTCATGTTTAGTTTTTGATCCACTTTAACCTTCAGATCTTTTTCTGTCAAACTGCTCCCTTGGCACATATTGCCCTATTTGTATTTGAGCATTTGATGTTCCTAATGGGAACATTCTGAATTTATCTTTACTGAATTTCATTTCATTCAGTTCAAATCACTTCTTTAATTTGTCTCCATTTCGAACTCTGATCCTGTCCTCCGAAGTGCTTGCTTCCTTTGGCTTAGTGAAATTCACAGTATTTTAAGTTTAATCTCTAGTCAGCCAACCAAGTTGTTGATGAAAATGTTAAACAGAATCAGATCTAGGCAGACCCTGCAACACTTCACTTGAGATGTAATCCCCGGTTGACATTTGACAGGGAACCATTGAGAACTTCCTCTTTGTGCCCTCCCAGATGGTAATTATCACTAATTACCATTATTTTGCTTATGAGACTATGCAACAGTGTCAAGAGCTTTATTATAGTTGAGATTTAGTATATATACTACTTCTTCCTTATCTGCTAGGCCAGCTGTGCCTTTTCTTTACAGGAATAGCATGTTGCTAAACAGAATTCATGATGAAGGATAGGAAATCCCCTACAGGATGTGTGGTATGTTAAGACACCAAAATGGTGTAGTCTAATCATGTGTCATTTTCAGTTACATAAAAGTGAGGTGAAGCCAGAATTCTGACTGAAATTCTCTCTTGCTCAGCTAAACAGAACAGACCACTTGGCAGACACAAATGTATTTGCATACAACCATCCAAATCTAATGTTTTTTTCCTCTTGTGCTATTGTCTTTCCAAGTTAGATAATATCAGTATACTTCCATGTCTTTTTACCTTGTTCCACTGCCTTTGTTGTTTTCTCTTCCTTCTTTTCAGGTACAGCTGCAAAACAAAGATAAGTTTTAAGTAAGATTTCTGGCCAGAAGTGCTGTTCCTACCAACAAAGCTTCTCTCTAGTAATTCAGTATCTAAAGATTACCTGAAGCAAATGATTTCAAAGTCTTGTGATTACTAGATGTATCTCTTTCTGATATGTAATGACATAATAAAGATTAGTAATATGCCTTTCACCTATCCGTAAAGAACAGCAATAAGGCAAAGGTGAATTCTTTGTTGCTTTCAAAATAAATAATACATTTCCTTCTTTCTCTTAAGAAAGCTATGGAATGGTGGCACCCTGTCCCAGCAAAAACCATACACATCCTTATACGTGTATTACATGAGTTAAGTATTTGTATAATTGTTTTGAAGGATTGGGAAAAGCATAGACAAATAGACTGCTCACACCCTGCTTCATTCTAAAAAGAAAATACCTAAAGAAAAGGCTGGGCATGAATTGAGGCTGTGCCCCCCCAAAAAGGAAATATTTCTCTGGAATAATTCCTGGAAATAATTCAAATATATTCCTTCTAATTTTTTGACATTAAGATGGTCCTTTTGGGAATGTGCAAGATCTTCTGGAGATCAATCAATGCATTCAATACAATGTATTTGCTTTTTCACATTATTCAGGGACAACAATCTTGCCAATATGCAAATACTGTGTCTGCATTTAGTTGGAGGAGGGACTGTGACCATTCAACATTTGTAAAATCAACATGTTGTTTGTTTGTTTGCTTTTTAAGTCAAATACTTCTTTTAAATCAATGAGCATTCCCCTGTAGTGTTTGAGAGACAAAAACTGCAGCACTAAACTGAAAAGAAAATATCTTACCTGATTGTCATTTTTCAATTTGGAAAATAATACAGTTAAAAACTAGCATAAATGGCATGAAATGAACTGGACTGTGAAAATTCTTCTTTAAGACCAGGTTAGTATTAAGTGAAAACAAAAAGTCTGTTTGTATAGTTTTCAGTCCACAGCATCCTTTCACTTTTTTTTCTTGCCAAACAGGAAATCAGATTTTATGCATTATATGATTGCCCACTGCAAAAATAATAACAGCAATATGGGATTAGGTCCATATTCTAAGGCCCATATTCTTCCATCTTTACTTACCCTGAGTAGAGCTTGTTGAACTCAGAGTGGCTGAGTACACTGAAGCACTTAGAGCAAATGCTTGACTTTTAGAATATAAGTAATGTCAGTTCATTTCAATGATTTATTCTATTCTATTCTATTCTATTCTATTTCATGTCTGAGGTGGAACCTACTGAGTCAAGGTTCAGGGAAGCAATCCTATTCCAGTTATTTATATAGGTCCCCTGGTCTTTCAATAGGCAATCAAACATGCCACCAGAAGCCAAAACTATTCTGCACAGATATGTAACTCTCCTATTCTGGCAATGGGCAGCCTTACATACCTCCAGAGAACAATCCTATTATACAAAGCTGACATGACTGTACAAATGACTTGCATTCCTGGCAGCTTAATGGCCCAGGTTTTTCAGAAGGAGGGCTTGAAGTTTCTTCTACTCAAACTATGCTATAGCTGTATGTTTAGGGCACTCCTCTAGGAGGTGGGAGCTATACTAAGTCATTCTGGAATTTAGGCAGCATTTATACACCTGGCCCAGGAGTCGGGGGAAGGGAGAGGGGACTTTAATTAGAGTGACTCTGAGAGCCACTCTAATTAAAGTGCCAGGAGTGTCTCATGTATCAGCATCCCCACACACAAAAATGGTGGTGGGGGTGCTTTAGATAAAGCCACCATTTTTAAACACAGGAATGCTGATGCACAAGATGCTGGAGGCTGCTGGAGCACAGTAATTACCATGCTCCAGCATACTCAGTTAATTGAGTCTGCTCCAGCATGCTGTAATGACAGCATTTCGGATCAGCCTCGCTGCTTGTACATAGGTGCCCCTCAATTGCTCCTGGGTTGTTTAGATACCTAAAAGTCTAATCTAGATCTGGTTGTTAAGGTCTGCAGTGATGAATAAGCTAATATTTTAAAAATCTGAACAGTGTGCTCAGCACTTGCAGAGTGAAGACCAATATAAAGTTTTAGTGTGAGTAAGGGTAATGGATGTTAAAAAGGTTGCTAGAATCTGGTCCCAAATGCATTTCAAAGCATACACATATGTACAAAGCTACTATGATTAGGATTAAATTAATTTAAAAGCTCTTGGTTTCCCCAACTTATATTTACCTTTTTTAGCTGAAACCACAGCTGCTACTTCTTTGGGTTGGTCAGTTTCTGAAAATTCAGGAAAATAATAGAATGAAAAACAGTCAGCAAAAATACCTCAGATACCAGACAGAAAGCTTAAAAAGCAGTGGAGCTGTGCTCTGAACAAAATTAAAATAGCCCTGGACAGCAAAGGTAGCCCTAGAATGTACTGCAGTATAAAGAACTTTTCTGTTAATGAAAACAATCTTTCAGATGGTCTTGCAGTTATTGAATCAGGGGAAACACATGGCCAAGATAAAAATGATGACAAACTATAAAAATGAAAGAAGAAAAAGGCGAGGACATTTTAATCTATCTAATCTCTACCTGAAGGTCTCAGAAGTTGACAGAAAAAAACAGCTTTTGAAAATAAATGGACCTGACTAACTCAATTCACTGAGCAGGTGTATAACAGACTAGACACAGGGTTAACTTTTTGCAGGAAGATCACAGATTTGTGTAGGAGGAAATTCTGATATATTGTCAAATGAATCCCAAAGGAGATGAAGCTGGATATGATGTACCAATGTTCTTTAGGTATTAAGAAAAATATGAACTGAACTGCAAAATTCAGACCCAGTTTTCTAATGTCTTTGTTACACATTGCACTTTGATCTGCTCAAATGTTGATCGACGTTAGTGCTAGCTCAAGTCTGGAGCAGTCATACCTCAAGACTAAAAACCTTCTCTGACTATTCCCCAACTGCACAGCTGTAACTTGTCACTAGAGGGTTCGCAAGCAGAGGCCTGACTAGGAGCTACAGCTCTGACTTGCCAATACAGGGCTGATGAGTTAGGGCAGGCTTCTATCCTGGCTCAGGATGGGGGTGTGTGAGAGATTGGTTGTGGGGGGGGAATATAAAGCTGGGAGACGGAGAGTTAATAGGAGGGGTGGGTAATGAAATGGGAGGTGGAAGTTGGAGGAAGGGTACTGAAACGAAGGAAATCAGCCACTGAAGGATAAAATTTAAAAAACCCCAAGAATTTAAAAAGAAATAAAGAGGGAATAAATTTAAACAGTTCTTATGTTTTAATAAATTGGGATTTTGGTTTGAGGTGTGGGGGTGCTAGTCGCACTTCCCAGGGAAGCTGAAAGGTGGGAGTGGTGAGGGAAGGTGCTTTTGGGGGAACTACTGACCCTGCCCTAGGAAGGAAGCCCTAGCTCATGGAGACCTGATCTGGCCCTCTGCCTGGTTCCCCCTCACCGTCCCTAGACCCCACTCCTAGACCCATCCATGTCCTGTGACCTGGCTAGCTGGACATGCTCTGCAGGCAGTTTGCATGGGGTTGCATACCTGGGGTGGGAAGGTCCCACTCCAGAGGCAGGAGAGGGAGATGGCTTGGTGTCAGAACTGCCTCTTGGGTTGTAGAGTTCATGGGGTGGAAAGTCTGTCCACACAGAACAGGAGAGTGGGCAAGGGGACACTGAACCCTGGGACCCTGGAGGACTTCAACTTGAGTGGCTCATCTGTTGGGAGTGGCCAGATATTAATGGAACACAGGCTAGGTAGCAGATCAGAGATGAACCTGCCCAGGAGTGGTTTAACTTCAAGCCACCTAAAGTGTGTTTAAAACTAGTTGCAGCTATTAATGTATGGTCAAACCATAGGTTAAAAGCTCCAGGCACTGCCTAAAATTCATGTGTAAGAAATCTCTAAATTTCTCAGGTGTTTGAATTATGGTTTAAAAAATAGAGTCCAGACATGACACCCAATCAAGATAAAACTATACAGTCCCACATTCTTCCCACTACCAAAAATGTATGAAAATATTGAGACTCAGTGGCTTATAACTCTTCACTGCAGAAGACTTTATAATAACTGACTAAAGGTTAGGTTTTGGTACTCAGACTTAAAAAGTAGGTTTTGGTACTCAGACTTAAAATATCTACAACAGCAAAGCACTGCAGCAACACCTTTATTACTTCCAAAGCCCTGATGCTTATGGATATCCTCTTGCCGTATAACTAAAGGAAAAAAGGTCAATAAAATACAAAATATTGCATAAGCAGTTGGCATAGCACTCAATGAAAGGTCCGTGATAACAATTCTTAAAGGGGCCAAAGGAAAACGTATTTCTGTAAATGGGGCCAAACCTGTGAGTTCCAGATGTTGAACACTTTTATCTCCCTATTAAATTGATGGGATTTGAGGGTGTTCAGGACTGGGCAGATTTTTCCCAAACATGTTGGTATGTTTCACATAAAAATGAGTTCACAAAGATAATAGAGTACAGCATTAAAGGAGACTTGATCATAAAGAAATATTCTCAACAGCTCCAAGCAATGCAGAAAAGCTTTTTCAATCATCCACTGAAACAACAACTATATTGATTTCCAGCTTTGGCTTTCTGAAGCTTGCCAAAGTGCAAAATTTTATTCAACATACTTGTTTCCTTTAGTTCCTCTTTTTTGGCTATTGGAGACATAAAGAGAACAATGTCTAAATTAGTGCAGTTTTGGTTTGATTTAATATACAGGAGTCAACTACAGTGCAGTAGATATATTATGAATTTAGCCCTGTAAATTTAAACATACTCAATAAAGAGAATACTGTGACAACTTGGGCTGTCTTTACATTTTTCACACATGCACTAATGCTGTATCACACTTCATACTATTCATTTGCCTAAGTAATTCCATTCAGTTCAGTAGAGCAGCTCTTGGATGCACTGGGTGCATCTACATATGTGTTTTACTGTGGAGCAGATTAATTAGGTCTGCAGGTAAGTGTCACAATTTACACGTGTGCTACTATTAGGGCAGCCACCAAATTAATTAACTCCACCGTAAGATCGTACTGTCAGGAACAGTATAATCTTATGGCAGAGTAATTAAGTGTAATGAAATGCGCATGTAGACTGTGACAGGGGCTGGCTGGGATATGAGGGTGCTAAGGTATGGGGGCTGTCTGCCACCTAGCCATATGGCTCTGCACTTTCAGCACCCTTGTGTCCTAGCCAGCCTTCAAGCCACCACACAGAGCCTGGGGCTGACAACCCATTCCCTCTGCCAGCCAGGGTTCTTCTGCCTTGGCTCAAAGTGCTGATATCCTGGGTACACGTGTAGATGCTGTGCCTGGGAGCAGTGTTCTCCAGCTGAAACTGCTCTGAAATTTATTGTGTCACCTTAACTTCACATGTAGATGTACCCACTGTTTAACATCAGTGAGTATCTCTGATAAGGAAATATGATCTAGTGGTGAGAGCAGGGCAATAGCAATTAGAACGTCTGGGTTCTAGCTCCTAATCTACTATTGACATGCTGTGTGACCATGGTCTGGCACTTCAGCCAGACTGTGAACCTATTATTCACTCTGGAGAGCAGTTATTATCACAAGCAGCCCTAGCCACTACAATGGGATTACCTGTAAAGCTAGGTAATACCTTAAGAAGCTTCTGGTCCAGCATGCTCTGATTTCCCCATTTGTAAAACAGAACTGTGAGATGCTCTGTTACGTTAAAAGAGCCAGTCATAGCCTTGCAAGGTAAGCAGCTGAAGCTAGAGTGCCATAGTAACCAGCTAAAGGGATTCATTTGGAGGCACCTGCAGGCAGCCCCAAGAAAGTCAGCTGACTGGAAAAGGGGCAGGGCCTGAGGAACATTAGGCAGCTGACTTAGAAGATGACTTGGCAGTCTGGCTGGGGCTGAGCAAGAGGGAGCTCTGCGAAGGTGCCTGTGAGGTAGCAGGAGCCACTGAATAGGCTAGGCCCTCAGTCAACCAGAGAGCCAAGGGCTAGCAAAGGATTGAAGCCCAGGATTGGAACAGTCATTTAGTTAGAGCTAGAGGGCTTGTCTTCTTCTTCTGCAATCCCTCGTAGTCAAGAATGATTATCTTCCATGGTTGTCTTATCTGTGTGTCTGAAGATGGCTGATGAGACCTATCCAGGATCAAAAGACTCTACTGCAGCTCAGACATGTGTTTCTGCATGGGGTGGGTGGTGCTGGATTTTTTATTTGGTCTGTGACGTTGTTTCTGCCGCTCCAGCTTTTCCATCTCCTCTTGTTGTCATGAGGTTTCAAAATACTGAGATCCCTGCAGCAGACTCTTCCTCCATTTGGAGTGGTCCTGGGCAATAGTCTCCCACAAGTTGACACTGATGTTGCATTTTTTAAATTGGCCTTGAGGACGTCCCTGAAGCACTTTCCCTGCCCTCCTCTATACACCTTGGCTAGCCTAGGAGAATAAAACTTGGTTCAGGAGTCTGAAGCTGAACATCCAAGCTGACATGGCTGGCCCAATGAATTTAATCTTGGATGGTCATCACCTCAATACTCATGGTGTTTGCTTGCAGGAGGATGCTAATATTGGTGCATCTGTCTTTCCATTGGATTTGGAGGATCTTCTGCAGGCAGTGTTGATGGTATTTCTGCAACAACTTTAGATGTCTCCTGTACGTTGTCCATGTCTCAGCTCCATATAGAAAGAACATCTTGATAAACCATGGACTTGGTCTGTGATCTGATCTCACAATCTTTGAACACCCATTTCTTCAGGAATCCAAAGGCTGCACTTGCACATTTGAGGCAATGTTGGGTTTCTTCATCAATGTCAGCCTTCTGCAAGAGATGGCTTCCAAGGTACGGGAAATACTCAACATTTTCCAGTGTCTCACTGTGGATCTGGATTACTGCAGCAGGGGACTGTTCGTTAGGATTGTTAAATGTCAGTTCCATTTTCGTGTATGCTTCGGTAAAGACATTGACAATTGCCTGAAGGTCTCCTTCCAAATGAGCACTCACTATAGCACCTTCTGTATACTGGAGCTCAATGTTTAAGGTCAGTGTGGTCCTGGTTTTGGCTTAGACTGAAACTTGTTGGTGGTCAGATGTAGCATTGTGGCAAGGAATTTTAAGAAGAGTGTTGAAGTGATGATGCAGCCTTGCTTAAACCCCGTTTTAACTTCAAAGGCATCTGTGGTAGATCCATAACTGAGAAACATGGCTCACATGCTGTCATGGAGCAGGCAGAGAATAGTGACAAATTTTGGTGGGCATCCATACTTTGGAAGGGTCCTCCACAACACTTGGCTGATAGAGTTGAAAGCTTTTATGAGGTCAAAGAAGGCCATGTTAAGAGGCTTATGTTGTTCCCAGCATTTCTCCTGGAGGTGGTGAGTTGTGAAGATCATTTCAGTTATGCCTCTTGATGCCCTAAACCCACACTGAGATTCCTGGAGGAGCTATTTCAAAAAATCCCCATGACTGTAGGCAAATCAAACCTTTATATATGACAAAGAAAGCAATGCTTTTGTATTAACAATAGATAGCTTCATCAACATTCTTTCACGTTCTACTTTACTGTATAAAAACATACACTGCCCACCTACCTTTTGCCTTGTGGGTTTCCACAGATACTGTAAAACAAATGAAAATGTTCTAAGAAACAAATTGCAAATCCATACAATATAACATAATTACTCAGTGGCTGTCCCATTGAACAAGATGCTACATATTTCCAGTAAGCCAATCTGAGAACTCCTCAGTTTCTTACCTGGAGGAACACAATATTTGTCCCAGATATAAATGTTTTCATTGCAGATGTTTAACTTGAACTAATTTAACTTGATTAAAAAGCTACAGAAAACAAATTTAGCAAGTAAGATATGTGTGGAACTAAAAAAATTACACATTTTCAGCTAGCAAAAAATGAAGCAGGAATAGAAATACAGATTCAGTATCTATAGAGATGTAAGCTAACACACAAAGTAGGCGATTATTGAGATACCATTTTAAAAACTAAAAAAATGTTGGCAGTTGAGAACATTTGTCTCAATTCAACTGAAGACTCAGCATAGAGATTACAAATAAGGAGCACTCAAGTGTTGACAAACATAATACAGTCTAAATTCAAAACTCTGTGGAACATGTCACATATTTCAATCTAATTGGCCCACCAGTGTTTACTTCTTAATTACTGAATTGCCTTTTTTCCTAAGTAAAAAAATTGATCTATGCCATACTTCTTATTTCCTCATTCATAGGTTCTTCATACTTATTATCTGCTGAAGTAGGTTTATATGCTTCATATGCTCTATCATCTGCTTGGCAGAAATGGTAATCACCTACTTAGAGAGCTATCTATTGAAGATGTTTATTTTCATTGCAGAGATTGTCCTAAAAACTCATCTGGAGGTACTGGATGTCGTTGCAGAAAATATGCTCCCAAGTAAAACTACAAGAAAAATTAAAGCTTATATGCTCTCCTTATTTGGATGAATTTAAGGATCTTGTTAGGCGTAACCTTTCCCATGTGTTAAATGCCCGTAAGACTTGAGTGTTTGAATATTAAGACAGGAAATCATTAAGACAGGAAAAATGCGCTCTGAGCATCTCAAAGTTACACATCTTTTGGCAAGGATTATCTCCAGATGGTGTTAAGCAGTATGTGTTGCAGTAACATCAGTCTGCTCCACAGGGCCAAATACAAGCAATTTGTGGCCCTCCAGTATCCCAGGATGCATCACTCCCAGGGGGCAGCACAGCCCGGCAGGTGCCTGCCCCTAGGCTGCGGGGCCCGGGGAGCGCAGCCGCATGGAGTGAATGTAAAAGCACCCTAAGGGTGGTGTCACACTTTCAACTTAATACTTAGTAAATACAGTTAATAGTCAAGCAGCCATACATTTAAACAGTTTAGCATGCGTTAGGTGACCTCTTAGTGTTGCAAAATTACTCTCTCTGAGGTGAGGATTATCGCCTTAACACATCCTAAATTCTATATAGGTCAGTAGATCCCAAAGATTTGCAACTCTTGCAAGTGAACACGTGACAAGGCCCTAAGAAATGGATCCAAGCTAGAATCAAAAGACAACTACCTGCAAGAGGCCTCTTTTGTCTTCTCTATTTAAAATAAATCTGGTTAAAGGAAATCACATATTGCACTTAGGACATGTTTTATTTAGATTGTAATAAATATTTTTATGAATTAGAAAGTTTTCTGAGCAGGACAGGGCTGGAGTCAGCTGCACAGATGTCAAACAGCTGATTGTCAATCCTGGTCCCCAACCATACTGGACTCTAGAACTGGCTCTGGTGAGATGGAAAGGCTGGGATCAACTATCAGCTGCACCAGAGCTGGTAAGGTGTGCTGGTATTATCTCCTTAGAGCAGTCTCATGATAGCCTAATGCGTATTATTTAACACAATCCGGAGATATTCCTCACTTGAAAAGTCCTAATTTTACCCATACAATAGCAGGTGTTTTTCTGGTTTAACACAGGGATTCTCACGTTTTAAGTGCAGTTAACATGTTCTAAGTGTAATATGAGACAAGACCCATAATTTGTTCAGACAAAAAACCCAAACTGAAGTATGCTTTTCTTTTTATTCATTCTCAGCTCATCTGAACCTTCCCTTCTACCCAACTTTCCCTTCAGAATTCCTTTCCCTCTTGAACAAATAATCATGTACATTTTTATTTCAGCTTTCTCAATTTTTTTAAATGTCCTACTTAGCTGCACTTAACTGGATCCGAAGTACAAGAACATGGAAATATGACGAGCTCACGTTCCATAACCATTCTAATTTTTCAAATAAATGTGACTACACTGACAAGTCTGTACCTGTCTAGTGTTATACTTTTTCTATGCCCACTCCTAAGTTAATGCAAGTTGGTTATGTTTAAGTTCAGATTAGTCTTAAACAAGACTAAAAATACATTTTTTTTCATAGGTCTTACTAGGTGGTTTCACTGGTACTACAGGTACTTCTTTTTTTGATGTTTTGGCAGGTACTACAGGTACGTCCTGTTGTGATGGTTTGGCAGGTACTACAGGTACTTCCTTTTTTGATGTTTTGGCAGGTACTACAGGTACTTCCTTTTGTGATAGTTTGGCTGGTACTACCGGTACTTCCTTTTTTGACGGTTTGACTGGTACTACAGGTACATCCTTTTGTGATGGTTTGGCTGGTACTACAGGTACTTCCTTTTTTGATGGTTTGGCAGGTACTATGGGTACTTCCTTTTTTGATGGTATGGCTGGTACTACAGGTACTTCCTTTTTTGATGGTTTGGCAGGTACTACAGGTACTTCCTTTT